CAAAGTTTTCATAATTATTAAATTATATCTGAAAATTTTATATAATTTAATTATGATTTTCATAAGATATCTATATATTATATAAAGAAAATAGAATTTCTAACCCACAACTCATATAAGAGTTCTAATATTTTAATCTTAATTTTCTAATTTTTTGATTTAAAAAAAAAATATCAACATTTATTGACTTATTTCAATCCACAAGCCTTTTTGTCTTCTCTCATACCTACCATTACACCATTTTCAAATTCTTCCATACACTATGGTTAGTGATAAAAATGTTAAATTATTTTTATAAACAATCTAAAAAATAATAATTGGGTAAATTACAAATACACCCCCTGAGATTTACTTAAAGTACAAATTGCCCCTTATGGTTTGGAGAATTAAAAATACCTCATTGTTAGTATTTTTTAATTAACATAATTAACTAAAAAAATGAAATTCATAATTGGTCTCCTATACAATAATAAAATCACCTAAATTATTAATTGAGACATATTTTTAATATCATTAAAAATTGTGAATTAATTTGATGATTTATTAATAAAATGGACAATTTATTATGAAATTAGAAACCTCAAGGGGTGAAATGTAATTTCCAAAATCACAAGGGGCGATTCATATTTTAATCAAACCTCAGGGAGTGTGTTTGTAATTTACCCAAAATAATTAGTATATTAAAAAAAATATCTAAAACAAATATAAATTCTTATTAAATCTATCTATATATATTATATAAGTAAAAGGGCTTTCTAACCATAAGTTTTGTGAAAGTTCCAATTTCAAACTAAAATTTTTAATTTTTTGATTTTAAATAATTAAAAAAATCCCCAATAGCTCTCATTCAAGAAAAAAAAAAAAAAAAAAACTCTCCTCATCTCCTCATTTATGACTTTCAAATGGAAAGTATATCAAATATATAAACTAAAAAATAGAAAATATACTAATCCATTTCAAAATTCAAATTTGAGAGGTACTAAATATGGATAGCATTCGATTAATTTAAATTTAAAATTATAATGATTTAACCCCTAATATATAAGTTTTAAATAATGATTATTTTCATGATTTATCTATATATATGTAACAACCCGAAAATTTAATGATTATTTTGGGTACCTTCACTTAAATATTATTTTCACTCGCGTTTATTATTTGTTCAAAAATTGGTCGTAGGTAACTTCAGTTACTGGTCATCACGATGCTTAATCCTTGGGTACGGAAAGTATAGCGATTCTGGTTTTCCCTGTCATGTATTATGTTTCGGACTTAGGTTCCATAGTGGTTGTTGTTGTCTAAATCTTGTTTCCATCCTTTAATTATTTGCATTTGAATTGTGGGATGTGTTGGATAAGTTTGGATCAAGTTGGTGGCTTTTTCTTTTAAAACCTGTATTGCCCAGATTTTGGTCTCCCCCCTCGAGCGGGACTTCCTACGCTCGAGCAGGCTTTGCTTTATTTGCTCCTCCGCTCGAGTGACCATTCTGACGCTCGAGCAGAATTCTTCAGCCTTCAGCATTTTTGCAGGTCTGCAGATGTTGGAAGTATGCTTTTGACGCTCGAGCGTCCAATTTCATGCTCGAGCGGGAGGCTGTGTCCAACGCTCGAGCAGGGGTTCCCACGCTCGAGCGGACTGTGCGTATTTCAGTCCGTGAAGAGGTCATTTTGAACCATTTTTTCTTTTCTCTCTCTCTCTCTAAGACGTTCCAAAAGATTTGTTCTTGAGCTTCTCTCTCTACATTTTACTTTCTCTCTTGGATTTCATCTAGATCCGTTAAGATCTCCATCCTTGTGGTTTGGAGTAAAAGATAGAGCTTGTCAAGATCTTTACTTTAGTCTGAAAAGAAGTGGATTTCGGCACTTTTGGAGTTTGTCTCTTGTGTGGTTCATTTTCTCCATTTGAGGTAGGGATAGACTACTCCTTCTTATGAGTTTTAACATGAACACTTGTCATTTTGTATAAATGGTGAGATTTGGTAATTTGGGAAGTTAGGGTTTGAGATTTGTAATATTTAAAAGAGGGGTTTTGTGTTTTAAGCTCCATATATATATGAGGTCTTGGGAATGAGGTTTTTGTGGGTTTGATAGGTGAAATTTGGTCTTAGGATCAATGTTTGAGAAAATGAGAAAAATGCCCTAATTGTATTAAATAATTAATTTGTATAATTAATTTCGTAATTGTGGGGAATATGAAATTGAATTGAAAACCATGAAATTGGATGGAATTAGGACTAGTTGGTGTAGTTGGATTGATGAATCACTCATCGATGGAAAATGTAATAAATTATCTGTTGATAGAATTATTTATCTATTTAGAGATAACTGCTTTGGGCTATCGGTGGATGATAGTCTTGATGGCTATTGACACTATATGATGATTAGGTAAATTGAAACTAATCAATTGAATTATGTCATTGAATGTGACAGTTGGAATAACACATTGAATATGTGTATTAAGTGATCATTGTATAAGATGAAGTGTTTAAATACATTGCATATGTATATTTGTTTGGAAGGAGAAAGGGGATGTACTCCATTATGTGAGAGGAGATAGGGGATGTACTCCATTGTGTGGGAGGAGATAGGTGATGTACTCTACTGCTTGGGAGGAGATAGGGGATGAACTCCATTGATAATTAAGTTGGCCGGAGTGTCCAGGGTGAAAGTCCCGAAATCTTATACACGTTTGAATAACGTTGATGATTTGAAGTATGGATAATATGAATTATAGTCTCATTTTGAATAGTCGATGGATTGAAGTGTTGTCTTTATGATTTGTAGTCTCATTTGAATTACTCGGATAAATGAGCCATGTTAATTAAGTGAATTGGAAATAGAAATGAAACCGGGTTGAAAGATGAATATATGTTGATGGATTGTAAAAATGGTATATATCGATGTACATGTATTGAACATTTATCAGATGCTAATGTTTTAGTTAATTCTCATATTTGGTTTAGCATATCTTTACTGGGCTTTGGCTCACCCTATATGGGACATCATTTTTAGGTACAAGAGACATGCCACCTCCAAGAGCCTAGCTTGGGTGGTTTAGAGGCTGTAGGCTTCTTTTGTTGATTTTTTTTTATGTTATATGTTTTATTTTCAAGCCGAGGGCTTAAATTGTAAAGGGCTTCTGACCCTCTTTTGTTGTAACTAAGTGTTGACTTGGAAAGTTGTAAGCCCTTAGGGCATTTACCTTTGTTGTCAACATATAGTACTTTTTGTAAAGAACACTCTGATGAATGGATGTATGTTTTATTCTTTTATGTCTATGGATATTATAAATGATTGATTTATGCATTTATTTTGAGGGCGTTACAGGAAGCGGGTCGTGACAATATCTATATACTATTATAATTGTAAGAAATTGTCATTTCATTAAGGTTGAAAGTTGTAATTCTTTTTTCTCATTTTTTTATTTTGTTTAATTTTTTGTTAATACGTGTTACAATATGATTGGTCTATAAATTAATTTTATAATCTTAAAATAAAATTTCAAATTTGGAGTCTTACTTAAATTATGTTAATGTAACTGGAATAAGATCAATATTCAGTCCTTAAATTTTGCATCATTTATTAAATTATAAAATAAAATTTCAAATTTAAATTTTTCTTCAAATTATATTACTACAATTAGAATAAGATCAATATTCACATGTGTCATAATGATGTGTCATAATATTATTGCTCTAAATATAATTTGTTTTAAATACATGTGTTCAAATTATTAATTGTTATTATTATTTTTTCTTTTTTTGTTTTAAATTTAATAAAATAGAATTATATCCTTCTAAACTATAAGGACTTGAACAATAATATTTTTTAATATATATATATATATATATATTTAACAAAAGTACAAAACATAACTTTTTTAGTACTTACCAAATATGGTGGATTTTGTTAGATTTTTATTTTTATTTTTTATCTCAATTGTCAATTAAAGAATAAAGATATCTTTGGCTCAAATTATTAAAAAATTACTTTTGCTAAAATAAATTAGAAATAAACATTAATTTATTTTTATTAAAAATGATAGTTCGTTAAACTTTCTTTAGTTTTTTTTTAAAAAGGAGAGGGTTATAAGTGATAATTTATTGTTTATCCATAATTATTTTCAGATCAAATAAAAATACCATATTAAATTTTCTTCTTACCTTTTTTTATTCAAATACTTTTATTTTGTAAGAAATTTATTTTTATTCTATTTAATATTTTATTGTAATTTTTAAATTAAAATTTTTTTTCTAAAAAATCATATTTAAATTATTTATGCAATTATAAAAAGTATTTTTTTTTTTAATATCAACTTAGTGGTAGTTTGTGAAGTGCTAAATAAGTATGTTTTTTTTACTTTTTTTGAAATATGTACAGAAAATTAGATGCGATGAGACTAAAAAAAATAATTAAGTATATTTTTTTACTTTTTACGAAAAGATATATAGAAAAATAGATGTGATGTGACCCAAAAAAATAAAAAGATAAAAAAGTGAGCTAATATGGCACTTTCCAAAAAAACCTTTATTCGATGATCCATTTCAAAAAGTGTAGTTTTTAAATATTTTCAAGAAAAATTCTATTGAAAATCTTAAGTATATTGCTTTTTTTTTATTCATAAATATTAAATTTTTAATTAATTTTATTTATTATTTTAAAAAATAAATTAGCAAATAATTTATATATATAATTTTGTTTTGGTTGCTCAAATTATTTGGTGTTTCTGCCCAAATCCAGTGCTTCTGCTTTTGGATTTTTAAATTTCTGCATAGGTCCACAATTAAAAACTATGTTGTTCAATCTTTAAAAAACAAAATGTTTGAAAATTTTTGAAAACATAAACTAAAAAACATGTTTGTTAAGGCCTAATTTTTTTTTATTTAATTTTTTTTAATTTTTTTAATTTTAATTTTTTTTTTTAATTTTTTTTTGACAATAGGATCATACACATTATCCATAATAATCATATTGATACAATACCAACCATAGATAAATTTAATAACCATAATAAACCATAATGTTCATAACAACTTACAAACCATAATAATAACATCTCAATTCTTCCACAAACCATAAAAAAAACATCTTCCACAATCTATTATACGCATAAATAATATTTCAATTGTTTCCGAGAGATTCCCAAATTTGACCAGCAATTTGATTCCTTACATCAGACATGTGACGTAATTGAGGTTGACTAATGTCTAAGTCAATTGGTTGCTGAGAACTACTTCCTGCATGTGTCGAGCTGCTACTATCACCTCCACTAGGCCCATTATCTTCAACGATACGATCTGGATTGGCCCATTCAGCGAACAATGTGTCATTTTGAGAATGTGTCCTTATCCAGTTGTGTATTGTACAACATGCAATGTGGATGTATCTCTGCGTCTTAGTTGAATACGGAGGCATGTCTCTCAAAATTGGAAAACGAGCCTTCAAGACACCGAAGCATCTCTCAATCACATTGCGCAGTGAGGAGTGTCGGTAATTGAACATTTGCTTCTTGTTTCTTGGTTGTCGACGTTGATTACGAAACTCATTTAGATGGTACCTCTCACCACGGTATGGCGATAAAAAGCCAGGCATATTTGTATAACCCGAGTCGACAACATAGTATTTATCTGTTCAACATGTATGTATCTATTATTATGGGTTGACAAAAGAATATTCATTATAAATTAACAAAATGCCATATAATACGTACCTGTTGGTGGCATTGGAAATAAATTTGTTGGATCATGTACGGTTTCAATGAACACTCTTGAATCATTTGCAGTGCCCTCCCAACCGGCCAATACATACGTAAATCGCATATCAAATGAGCAAACACACATTACATTTTGTGTTGTAACTGTATGCTTACCCCGATATGGTATTTGCTCTGATGCTGGCACCCTTGCAGATATGTGGGTACCATCAATTGCTCCAACACAATCCTATTTGACAAATGACTTTAATAATGCAGGATATTTTACTAAAATTTATATTTCAAATATTCTGTTAGTGATTACCTTAAAAAAAGGATAGAAGCGTGGATTATGTCGAATTTCTGCAGGCACCTCATCAAAATCTGGAGGCCTTATAACTTGTTTACCAAGCCTACACACTGCCTTCAAGACTCGGTTGAAGTATTTGGAGATGGTTTGGCCAGAATGTTGGAATCGCTCTTGGACAACACGATTTCGTTCGTTGTGACCAATTGTTAGCAAAAATATACAAACTTGCTCTTGGACAGTCAGATAACGTGAGTGTTCCAGTTTACCATATACCTTAAGTGCCTCGCACAAATTAATAAATACATCTGGTTCCATTCTGAAATTTTCCTTGGACCTTCTTTCATGGCCATTCAATATTTCTAATACGTAGTCATGTCCTTGTAATATGGACGTTCGGCATGGTCTAGGTTGAAGGTAAGTATTACAATACTCATGTAGTGCTACACACACCAGAAATTGTATATTTTCATCGTCACTGTCTGAGTCAAAACTCAAATCAAGAGCATGCATCGGCTCCATATATATCACTGTGATATAGTGCTGACCCCTTAAAAACAAAAGTATTAGTGATAATGAAAATACATGACATAATGGTCACACAATAATTTTTTCTTTCATTGAATTTTTTTCGGTTTGGTAACCATTTTGTTTGGTCCAATTCAAATGTTGGCTCCATATATTTTAATTTCATATCACTTTAAAATAATTAAAATAACCCACATCTAGTGATGTCCAATTCAAATGTTGGCTCCAATTTATTGGTTATAAAATTGACACGTGCAGCTCACATGCCATTTTTTGTCCTCTTTTCATAACAAAGATAGAAGGCTGGGATAGAAACAAATCAGAACATCAAAGGGGTGGAATGCAGCAATTTTAGTTGAGGGGTAAAGTGACAATAAGCATAGTTAAGGGGGTTAAAGTATAATTTTTCCTAAAATAAAAGTAGACAACATAACAATAAAACTGAAACCAAGTTGCATAAATAATGACAAATAAAATGTACTGAGACATTACCAAAACAGAGATCAATAACACATCACTAACTTCTAACAGTGAGGGGGGTGGGTTCTAACAATAGTATATTCAGAAAAGAAGAAAAGCTCCTCCCTTCAATCAAAAATCAAGGGAAAAAAAAAAAACAAAAGAAAATTGATTGCTCACTTTTGATGTGTGTTGTTTGAGACAATCCTGCAAACAAATTGATATTCAAACAATATAATTTAAGTCGAAGAGAGTGGACCGAAAAAAATTGAATATGGTATTCAAATGGTGACGTACTTTAAGCTTGGATAATGACAGAGAACCGATGCACCAATCGGTTCTTGGTTTATCTCTGCTTTGCTCTCATCCATTCAACAAAGTTGTCCAGAATTAAGGGCCATGCAAGTTCAGCATCATAATTACTATGGTCCGGAATTAAGGGCCATGCAAGTTCAGCATCTATATATCTTAATACATGCTTTTTTAACATATATTGAGGTTATTAAAGACTACTCATTAATCAACTATCATTAGCAAAAAAAACTTTTTATAAAAACATGTGAATGATGTTAATAATCCACATCTAGTGATGTTTCATATGACTTCAAAATTGGACCAGATGTTTCATATGACTTCAAAATAATTCATGCCAGAAACCCACATCTAGTGATGTTTCATATGACTTCAAAATTTAGTGAATAATCTAGACACATTGACACATTTCATCGAACAGGTAATGGAAAAAACAATGTTGACAGTACAATGACATAAGAATTTTATATAGAAGAAGATCATACATACCTTGCAATGCAGTGTTGAGAATGCAGTGATACAATGTTGACAATGCTTCCTATGTAATGTTGACAATGCAGTAAAAAGAGCATACTAGTAACAAACATTATATAGGAGAAAGAGCATTCAATACTTTAACCAACCATAAACTACCATAATAAAAATAGCCTGCATACTAGTACAATATTGTAGCAATAATGGAAAGCCTGCATACTAGTACAATATTGTAGCAATAATGGAAAGCCTGCATACCATTTACTCAATTTGATATCTACTCATCTACCCATCTCTTTGCAGTACAATTTAAAAACACCAATAGAATACACCTAACTCTGTTTCCATAATAAATTATTCTGAAAAAAATAAAATAAAAACTACAATACATCAGTTATCCAACAATACAAGCTTGTTCACAGAATACACTAAGTCTGTTACAGCACAAAAGATTATCCAACAATTCAACAGTTACAGTACGAAATATAAACTTCCATAATAAGTCTGTTTCCATAATAAACTACCAAATAAATTAAACAACACAAACACATACCACACTAAATCTGCATTCTCTCAAAGATTAAGGACCCAATCCCTCATCCTACTAGCAGGCATATCAACAAATACCTCCCTCATTATGGGATCCGATGCAAGCTTGTTCACAGCTTTAGTGTAAGCAGCAGCAGGGATTTCCTCCATACCATGCAATAGTGCCATGCACTCTTTCAGTAATGAACGTGATCAAAAAAATACAAGTCAAATAAAATGAAGACACATTGAAGAATAAACAGCAGTTTAAACAAATTTCAAAAAAATATAAGTCAAATAAAATGAAGAGACATTGAAGAATAAATAGCAGTTTAAATATCCTTGTGGCATATGCACAAATTTCAAAAAAATATAAGTCAAATAAAATGAAGAGACATTGAAGAATAAATAGCAGTTTAAATATCCTTGTGGCATATGCACAAATTTCAAAAAAATATAAGTCAAATAAAATGAAGAGACATTGAAGAATAAATAGCAGTTTAAATATCCTTGTGGCATATGCACAAATTTCAAAAAAATATAAGTCAAATAAAATGAAGAGACATTGAAGAATAAATAGCAGTTTAAATATCCTTGTGGCATATGCACAAATTTCAAAAAAATATAAGTCAAATAAAATGAAGAGACATTGAAGAATAAATAGCAGTTTAAATATCCTTGTGGCATATGCACAAATTTCAAAAAAATATAAGTCAAATAAAATGAAGAGACATTGAAGAATAAATAGCAGTTTAAATATCCTTGTGGCATATGCACAAATTTCAAAAAAATATAAGTCAAATAAAATGAAGAGACATTGAAGAATAAATAGCAGTTTAAATATCCTTGTGGCATATGCACAAATTTCAAAAAAATATAAGTCAAATAAAATGAAGAGACATTGAAGAATAAATAGCAGTTTAAATATCCTTGTGGCATATGCACAAATTTCAAAAAAATATAAGTCAAATAAAATGAAGAGACATTGAAGAATAAATAGCAGTTTAAATATCCTTGTGGCATATGCACAAATTTCAAAAAAATATAAGTCAAATAAAATGAAGAGACATTGAAGAATAAATAGCAGTTTAAATATCCTTGTGGCATATGCACAAATTTCAAAAAAATATAAGTCAAATAAAATGAAGAGACATTGAAGAATAAATAGCAGTTTAAAGAATAAACAGCAGTTTAAACAAATTTCAAAAAAATATAAGTCAAATAAAATGAAGAGACATTGAAGAATAAATAGCAGTTTAAATATCCTTGTGGCATATGCACAAATTTCAAAAAAATATAAGTCAAATAAAATGAAGAGACACAAATAAAAACATCAAGGGGGCATGGCATATGCACATAGGACATATACAAGAGAAAACTAGAGCCTTTATCCAATTCAACCTTATATATGACGTACAAAGTCCAAAAATTGATTTAATGGATGTGTAACTGTCCTAACAATTCAAAAATATACTACAGAAGAAAAACACACAATAGTTAACATGGTTTGGTAGAATTTGTTCTATAGTAATGGTATCTAGAAGATGAGAGGAACGGTACTTGAAAAACATCTAAAAACCTGAGTTGAGAAATAATCCCCGTCTTTGCTTACAGATATCCTCTTAAAGTAATCTTCACTTCCATGCTCACTTCTGGTGGTTGAGCCCAAAACAATCTGTTTTTTCTACCCATTAGTATTATTCTTGTCTGTTTGTTTCACATCTCTGCAATTGTTGATCCAACAATTTCATTAGTCCCTTTCTCTCAGTCTCAGTTAAATACGTAATTTTATATTTATATCTTGTAGAGTTCCCAAAATCCACGTCCCTGATAAGGAATAACAACTAAGTTTTTTCACTACTAGAACAGGACCAACAGGTTATAGAAATGCTTTCTCCATGGCATTCATGGCCTTTTCTGTCCTACGGGTTTTGTGTTGTAAGTGTCAGAAAATAACTTGCAAAAGTGGGATTGGTTGGTTGAATTGTCATTATTGAGTTCTGCAGTTGCCTTTTTTTTTTATTTTGTAAATGAGAATTTATATTGAAATATGTGCATCTCTTGTTCATGCCAGGAGACTATAGCTGCACCACTTTTGGCTCTTATCAGCTGTTGACTCTTGATTTTGGCTCCCAAGTGTGTTTACTTTTAACATTCAAGGCTTATAATCTGGCCTTTTTTTCTTTCAAATTTGAATTTGAGCTTTCAGATCTGTTTTTCAACATTACCCACGCTAATCAGATTATGCATTATTGATTCTTCATTCTCGATTCTTTTAAGTTTTGGATGTGTCCCAAATATAGCTAGTGATAGATAAACTGCTGTGTCGTTCCTTGTACACGGCATTTTTGTCCCCCTATCTACCTAGTTAGTTGAACTTGGTTGGTTTTTATACCTGGAGACTTTGTCATCGAGTCCCATTAGGAATTGAGGAAATTGAATATTGGTTGGATTTAACAGGTTCTTATACAAATTATCTAATTTGGATCCACTGCATTGCTTCTCAGTAATTCTACCAAGCATGAAGCTATTATATTTTAGTTAGTGATAGTTTTATAAATCTCTAGTTCAGGTGTGGTCTTAAGATTTGGTGAAATTCTGCGCACTGTATTTGTGCTGGGACATTTTTGTGCCACTTGTTTGTTTTGGGACACACTGGTTTCTGTTGTGGTGAGTAGTAGTCATATATCCAAAGTTTCATGAGGAGTTTCTATGGTGTCTCCTACTAGTTTTTACATGAACTTCACATGGTTTTGAGATTGTTTACATTTGCATTGCATAATTTATGTTGGATTATTTGATGGTTTGTAATTTCCTTTGTACATTGCTCAACCGGTTCTTTTTTTGTGAATTGTTTTCCTCAGAACCATCCATGGATGTTTATTTAACAAATCGAAGAGAAGAGAGGGGCGACAGAGAGAGAAGAGAGGAGAGGGGAGACAGACAAAGCTCGGTGAACACAGAGAAGAGAGGGGAGACAGAGAGAGAAGAGAGAGAAGAGAGGGGAGAGAGACAAACCTGATCTGTGAAGTTCGTGAACATAAATGAGGTGGATGAAGATGAGATATTACCGTTGGACAAAATAAATGAATGAGGTGGAGGAAGATGATATATTTTAACGTTGGTGCTGCGGAGATTTGAACCGAGATCAAGACGCCCACAATTAAGTTACTGTAGCTCCGCTACAGTAACTTCCGCTACAGTGCCAGTTTATTAAATTAGCCAAAACAGGTTTTTTCTGTTTTCGTTTTTTGGGTAAGATTTATAAACTGGAAGCCGAATTATAAATCAAATTTTTTACCAAACGGGTTTTTATCATAATTTTTTAAATTTTTGTAAATATAAACTGTAAACTGAAAATAAAATGGTTACCAAACATACCCTATGTGTGTTGAGTCAGGTGGCAAACATAACCACTCCAACTCTCTCCAATTAAACACGTAAAAAATTCAATACAATAACGATATATTACTATAAAATCATATGAATTGTTTACTACTTTGGGACCATTTGTTACAATTTTTAGAGGTGATTATAGCTTATTTGATTTGAGAGTTTGTATCAGATTATTTTGTACAACTTCAGCTTATAGCTTATTTGATAGAAATAACTTAAATGAGCTAAAAAAAATGATTATTTGAAAGCTGAGGTAAGGATAATTTTAGCTTTTACTTTCTAATTATCAGCTTTTAACTTGAAAAAAGCTCCACCAAACAGGGCTCTTAACTAATTCTCTTAAAGCATCTCCAACCCACTAGGTATGTAATGTTTGTTAGTCAAAATGCCTAGAATGACTCACTTTTTTCAACTCCAATGCACTAGGTATGTAATTAGGCATTTTAACTCAGCTCACATTCACTAGTTACATGTAGTTAGCCTTCAAGGCTAGGCAAAATGTATTTAATCATTAGGATTATTTCTCTCCATCTTTGTTATTGATATGACATTCTATAAAGTTAATTGTAGGGATTTTTATTAATAAGTCCAATTTAAAAGTGTTTTAACCCAAGAAGTCCATGAAGGAATTTTTTAACCCATTTAGTCCCATGTATGTAAAGTTTTATTCCATAAAGTCCATTTTCTTGATTTACACTATTTTCTTGGACACTTATGCCCTTATATTTAATTTTGATACCATTATAAATATTTTTTCAACGATTAGCAATTTAATGATGTGAACATTCATAATTTAAAATTCACATTGGTAGGAATGTAAAATTGGCCCGTGGGCGGCCTGAAACCCGCTCGCGAGCCAGGGCGAGCCCGGCCCGTTGACAATGTGAATATTCACATTGACATGTTAACATTCACATTGATAAGAGTATAAAACTAGACAGCAGCCCAGGACGGGCCCGACTCGGCCCGGCCCGGCCCGTTGACAATGTGAATATTCACATTGACATGTTAACATTCACATTAATAGGAGTGTAAAATTGGCCCCCGTCCCGTGGCGGGGCGAAACCCGCCCGCGGCCCATGGACAGCCCGGGGCGGGCCCGGTCCAGCCCGTTGACAATGTGAATATTCACATTGACATGTTAA